CACACACACACACATATGCCATTGTTACATATACTTAAAATGATTCAAATGCAGTAAGTATACATGCTTCATATAAATATAGTCTATAACTTGTTTATTTTCTGTAGCCCAGATAATTAAACATTTCAATTCACATAAGACATGTGAATTTTATTTTATATACTGTATAGCCTGTATAATAAATAAATATGTTGCCCAATAAGTATAAAAACCAGAAAGCTACACAAAACATTTACAAACACAAGTCTAACTTAAGTTTCACATTTTTTTTGTAAGAACAAATCAAATTGTTGCTTAAATTTACACAAAATGTCAGAAATCTGCACTGTCATGGACAAAAATTTCAACCTAATTTTTCACGATTTCTTGGTTAACCCTGTGAGGTCCAAAATATTTGGCCGTATTTGACGACTTTTGATTGTGTTTGTAATTTACCTTCGAATTATTTTATTTGACTTTTTTTTTTTTGTCTTGTTTGATATCAGGGGCGATTCTAGGATCAGCGCTTTGGGGGTGCTGAGCACCCAGAGAGCTGCTCAGCCAGGCAAGATAAACTTGTTACGATGAGACTTCTTCCCTGGCTCTGTCTGTCCCTGCATCCTTAAATGTCTCCAGTTGTCCCGAGTTCCCTCTGACTGTCTCCTTGGTGCATTTAAACCCCTGTTCCTCCCTGTCCCTGCCTCGTCTGTTGTCTTCATCTCCGTTATCAGTCATCATAATTTTACCATCTCTATGCAAGTCTGCAAATTTCTTTATTAAATCATAAGATTCTTAAATTCATCAAGTCTCCCTGTGCCTGGGTCCTCGTCACAAAACATGACATCAATGTTTTGTACATTTTAACACAATTTAATCCCACATTTGTGAAAGAAAAGCAAAACACTTTTTTAAAATGCTGCAAACGAAGAATGGATTGGAATAAAAAACAAATAAACATATCCTAACTCCAATTACTGGGGGAAAATGATGAATGATGATCATAGTGAGTAAGAAGTAAACTGAGTGCATGGACAGAGATTCACTTTTAATGTGTATGTATAATATAATACAGATATATGAAAATAGACTCCAAAAATAGAGTCCTTAAAATGTACAAATTATTGATAAAAAAAAATTATAAAAATGGAGACAACCTTGCCTATGGTACAATGTATGAAAATATCTTTACTGCAGATACTAATATGGTGCTGCAGATTTATTTATTTTATTTTAACCTGTGTCGCCTCACCTTGAAGTTGGCAAATACTTTTGGTGGTCAACTCTCAAGCAGTTTAACAGTTTCTGTTGTGCCTGTCACTGTTCCCTGTCTGTTTCCTTACCTGGTTCTTCCTGACCTTGCACTTTCTCCTCATGTTCTCCTCTTTCCTCTCTCCCTCTTTGGACTGACAATCATACACAAATAGATTGTATTCAATTAGATGAAAAAATTACATTAATATGAAAAAAAAACCCCATTATTAAGATCACTAATAAAAAAACTCCTCTCTCAGTGTACTTTCAACCAAAAGGCAAATAATCAAACCACATGTACATCTAATAAAAGATATAAATATTGAAACACTGATCCAACATTATCCTCATTTGTTCTTACACTTTTACCTGAATGTGGCTCCTGGGTTTCATATCGGCACATATGACAAAATAACCAGCTTCTCTCATTCAATTTCAAACAAGACAGTGGTAACAACAATAGGCTACAGACAATTTTAAGTTTTAGATTTTAAATAGGCTGAATAAATTTCAGTGGGAGTAACAGGACGGTCAAATGTCGCTGATTTTACTACAGAGCAGGACGGATTGTAGGGCAGCAAACATTGTCGCAAAACACGTTTTCAACACTGCAGGTTACCTGGGTGTAATGTTTTTCAGCTAAAAAGAAACATGGTCTGACTCCTACCTAACTATATAAAGAGTAACTGAAGGTAAAATGCAGCTAATATGTCCTGTTTTAAGCCAGGCACTTACACCTCCGCTCCGCTGCGTCTCAGCCACCATCGCTCTGGCAGCAAGAGCGCTAGAGCCAGAGTAGGGGAGAGGCGAGCTGGAACAAACCATTTTGGGAGAGTGTCTGAATTTGCAGTCATTTTTTCATTGACATACCACAAACTGATCTGAAATCACAAAAAAAACCCATACAATCCTAGTAGTAGTAGTTTTTTTTTACTTAAAAATAATTTATTAAATATGTCTGTAGTTTTTTTTACTTAAAAAAAACTACAGACATATTTAATAAATTATTTTTTATAAAAAATATAAATTGTACATTTTGACAAC